CTACTACTACTACAGCTACTGCTACTCCTACTACTACTACTACTACTACCGTTAGTGGTATCATCATTATGTTACTAACTGCTCTTATTACAACCATTGTCATCGGGACTGTTTTTATTTTTCAATATCATGATGATGATGCTTATCATTACTGTCACTATAGTATTCAATAGTTATGAGTATGACTATGATTGTTATTGTTATTCGTACATATGTAGTCATACACATGTTCATATAGCCGTTTGTTTATTGTTCACTTACGTATCTATTTTTTCCATTTATTTACTTATGCTGTTTTATTGTTATTGACATTGATATTGTTGTGAGAGCCGTTATCGGTAATTAAGTAATTGTGGTTTTAGATAGAGTTCATGACTGACCAGACCATGCGCGGTGGTAGTTGCCCTAAAACAGGATCAGCTCTTTCTGTCTCTACGTCTCTCCCTCTCTCTCTCTCTCGCTTCCTGTCTTCAACATTGTGACGACTTTCTGCCGTATGCAAATCGGTTAAATCGCCAACGGTGACAACAGGCAGTACGGTCTTTACAGACGCGTGCTGTTGCGTTCCCGGCTTCAGCTTGACATGTTTTGCAGCCAGCCTTTTACTTCCTACTTCGTGCTAAGGACAGCATTGCTGTGGTTGCTCAGATTTCTCGTTGTTTCTGTTGGCTCGTGAGCTCACTGTTGCCATGGCCGCCGGGATTCTAATGTGTCGCGAGACTGGCTCCGCAGAATCTATCTAGCCGAAAGACCAGAGGGCGTAAACTTGCTAAGCGAGGCTCTAGGTGATCTAGCGGCATTTGTTGGGCTTTAGAGTTATCAAGGATTAGTTTATAGCCACAGCACAAGAGGACCCTCATGCGCTGGTTGATGGTTTTTTGCTCCTTTATTCAACGGTCCGGTCAGGTGTGGCCCAAGTCGCTCGGCTCACGCCGTTTGCGCACTGGGTGACCCCGAAGCAGGCTGGGTCATGGATCCATAGGAATGTAGAAGGATTTCACAAGGTTTGGTAGGGTGCAAGCATGGTTTCTTCGGGCTTCTGTAGAGTGTAACCTATTAGCAGCCCAAACGCAAACCTTACCCAAACCCCAAATCCCTAAAATCCGAAGCATCAAGCAACAGATTCAAGCTATAGTGTCTTTGGCCCAATCTCAACCCATAATATAGGGGCCTAAATAACTACCAATATGATTTTGGGTTCCTTGTTATGAATGTAGTATAATAAACCCGGTACATTTTTTGTTGTAACAAGCCCCAAACCCTAAGCTAAGCCCTAAACCCTAAACCCTACACCCCCAACCCTACCACCCTAAAAGGAGAAGTACCGCTACGACACCCTAAACCCTGCACCAAAAACCCTAAACTCTTAAACCCCCTTAAACCCCCTTAAACCCCCTTACACCCCTTAAACCCCCTTACACCCCTTAAACCCCCCTAAACCCTCTTAAACCCCTTTAAACCCCCTTAAACCCCCTTAAACCCCCTTAAACCCCCTT